CCGCCCCCCACTCTGAAATATTTAATAGTCTCATCCTCGGCCCAGGATACAGGCAAGAATTTTCGACACTCGCTGTTGGTCGTTATCATGATGTAATTTTTTTAAACTGTTCCCTCCTTTTAGACGAGCTGATAAATGCCGGTGAAAGTGGAACCTTCGACCTTGTTTTTATTGATGCTGATCGAATCTCGAAAGACAAGTACTACGAAAAATCATTACAACTTCTGCGCAAAGGCGGCTTGGTAGTAATCGATAATGTAAGTATATGTATGATGCACGATCCTCGCAGTAGAGAGCGCTTTTTATGCAATAGCGAAAATCAGACCTGATTTTTGTCAGGTCTGATTTTCGCTATTGCATAAATAGCGCTCTCTACTGCGAGGATCGTGCATCATACGTATCTAATACCGCAGTTCAAAATATATGAACTTCATATATTCATTGTATCAAATGTAAGTATACTTTAGCGTTGTCTCTCAGGTCGTTTATTTTTGTGGGATGGGCGATTACCGCAAATCCGGAATTTGGCCAGATGCTTGTGCAAGTGTATTTTGGGTGTTATATTTTTTTTTTCAGTTTTACTGAATGTAAAACAAAACTGATACGCTCTTTTATTCACTTTTAAGTTGCATCATATATTCAGCCGTTTTTACGCACTCATATATTCAGCCGTTTTTACGCACTCATATATTCAGCCGTTTTTACGCACTCATATATTCAGCCGTTTTTACGCACACATATATTCAGCCGTTTTTACGCACACATATATTCAGCCGTTTTTACGCACACATATATTCAGCCGTTTTTACGCACACATCTCTCGCTCTCGCAACCCAGGCTTGCACCATAATACTTTCACAGGCAGAAAGAGGCAGCCCAACGGACGCTACAAAAACTGTGGGGAACAAACTGAAACGAGTAAAAAACGTAAAGATTTTTCCTCAACCCTGGGTTAACTAAATTGCGTTTTCAACAACGGCCAATTAGGAGGAATGAAAATAGCATGAGGAGCCAATGAGAACTCAAAGTAAAACTGACTAAACTCCCTAATGCGCGGGAAAACGCGGTTGACAAAGTTACATAATTGGTTCTAGTTATTCATCTGATTGGTTGAGAAAGTGGTGCAAGTTTTCAAGACCAATCAGAGAGCGACGTAAAGAAAGAACATTGCAATCCCAGATTACTTTCGACACTCAATTGAAAATTGCTCTACCTTATGTAAAATGTCCTGATTTCATGATTTCAAATACCGTTCACGATGTCAAACATCTTTTGCTTGAAGTGCAAAGAAAACTTTTCGAAGCTTTGAAAGTGCTGAAAAAATGTGAAAAGCAATTTTTTCGCTTTCAAAATTCGCACAATTTGCCTTCAAATTTGTCCCGGAGACTGAGACCTAGTTTATCGCCGTAGAAGTTATTCGTGACGTCACATTGTGTACCTTTGCCGCGAAGGTCTGTTATCGCTAAGAGGATTCTGCAGTACTTAGATAGATAGTGCATTGAAAGACAAAGATGTCCAGTGATTCTAATGACTCCTTTGAGTCCGACTCTTCTAAAAGTTCCATTGACTTCGAAGAATCTGGAGATAAAGTAGAAGTAGGGACACAATGTGACGTCACATTACGATATCACCTGCGATTTTGGCCCCGCGATGACCGGGACAAATTTGAAGGCAAATGGCGCGTATTTTGAAAGCAAAAAAAATGCTTTTTAGATTTTTCCAGCACTTATAAGGCTTCGAAACGTTTTCTATAGATATCCAACTAGAAGAAACAAGAGAAAAAATATTTCTTGTCATAACTATCCTTTCAGGTGTTGTGTGATGGCAAAGTTTGTGATCCTGAAGAAAGGGCGGCCAATACAGACTTGAAAGCTCCTCACGACTTGAATGTAAAAGTTCATGAAGACAGTCGTGTTTTGATGAGTTTGATTCCAATTGCCGATGGTGTAACCATAGCAATGAAGCTTTGAAAAGCAAACTCTCCATTCTCTGTCATGTTTGTTTATTTTTAAGATATCTAATCAAAACCCAGAGTTTTCATCGAAGGAATTGTCGTTTATCGCCGTGGGGCGGGATGGAATTTTTATTGAGATGCCAAACACTGGAAACCTGTACTCTAAAGATGTTTGTTTCGGGACATCCCCTTGTTCTTCGAAATGTTTTTTGTCAACAAGTTTGTTCAAATCTCTCTTCCCAAAACGGGTTTTAACTTAGAGTTCGAATCAAATCATGTCAAATTTCATTGAACGCAGCGCAACTTGAATCATAATTACACTAAAACGAATAATGTATGGAAAAGGTTATTCAAATAACAAAGCTAATCTAATAAATGATCCTTATGTATGAGTACCAATCTTAATTATTAATCTTCTCAATCAAATTCTAATCGATGACCCATTGGCTTAAGTAAAGCCCAAGGGCTGTCAAAGTCAATTTCTAGTCAGGTTGAGTCCGTCGTGAGAAACACAACAACATATTTTGTTTGATTGGTCACCCAACACAGAACGATGTAGCAGAGAGGTGTGTGTGTGTGTGTGTGTTTGTGTGTGCGTGTGCGTGTGTGTGTGTATGTGTGCGTGCGTGCGTGTGTGTTTGTGTGTGTGTTTGTGTGTGTGTGTGTGTGTGTGTTGGGGAGAATTGTAGGTTAAACTCACCAAAACTGGCCCTGCCAACCCTTGTTTAACCCTTAAACCCTCAAGAGTGTTTAGCATCGTATTTCTCCTCGCAGTGTCAGCCCTGAATCACACATTAAGGTCATGAGAATAAAGAAAATGATCACCAACCAAGGATAGTCGTGGTTGTTAAACATCTTCAGCATCGGCACCTTAAGAAGTGTGCAGGGAACCGTATGGAGAATATACATACTGATGTTAGGATGTATAGGGTTAACAAAAATAAGGTTTATGTTAATAAAAACAGAGTGGCGTGTCCGTAAGCTGGAGGAAATCCCCGATGTTGCCTACACGATCCTACAAACCCACGAAAAATTTCATAACACGACCCGATCCAAAGCTTTTTTACTCCTCCGCTATTACCCTTCTTTCACTGACCGAACGCCTGGGACAAGCTATATGCCTCAGAATATTTTTTTATTGCCATTTCCATAAAGACGTTTAAATAAAGTGATACGAGTTTCCTTCAAATCTTTTCGGTAGGGTTAGATGTTTGAGCGTCTCGTGGGATGGTCCGGGCCATCTTTGCACGATATGTAAACAAAAATCAGCGGGTGTCATGAATATTAGTAAAACTGGAATTCGTCAAACATGCTGGTAAAACCCATCTTCTGCGCCAAAGAAGAGTATCAAAGAGAAAAATTTAATCGGTCTTCTAATACCGTTTCGAAGCTAATAATGCAGACAAATACACGTTGTGAAAGGGTTCTTCAGAAGTTCTACGATAGTTTTAAAGAGTTCTCTAGTGTCACATCGCGCCCGGCAGAATTTATGTTATCGATCGGACCGGAGATCTCCGTCTACATATCCGATTGGAACTTTTTTGTCGAATACTTGTGACACGAAAGCAAAAGTAGTAATATTCAAAAGAGAGAGCAGGCTTAGTCCCATTTACAACGAATTTTCATTAAAAAAATAAGTGTATTTAAATTTAGGCAAGTTTCACCAAGTCCTAATTTTAAAGTTGGTAGCAGTCACTACAGCGATCCTGATGACCCAAAATCTCGCCTTTCGAAACACTATATAATAAAATTACAAAGGATATCTGCAATGCATGTAAATTACTTAAGGAGATCACTAGTTTCCTTTCAACTCTGCGCATTCTAAATAAGTTCTTAACAAGTAATTGAACTCTTGTCCTAAAAGTGTCTTCATTTAACGTATTCTCGATTAAAGCCTTCCTTGGTAGAGTAAATCTCTTAGTAAATTCTGTAGCTTGCTCAAAAAGCTTGCGGTATCTTTATCTGACTTCCAAAGCGTTACCGTGACCTAAAGCACTTAAAATTCCCTACAATTTGGAGTTAATCCGGGTGTGCAAGTTAATTCGTAAAATTCAACAATTTTTTGCGCGGACTCACTCAAAAACTATTTTAGTCATCAACCAAAAGACTTATTAAATTTTCCTCAACACGCCTTCGTGTTAACTTTATGCCATGTCTCTTGCAATTTTTCAAAATAATATTCTCAAACCTAATTGTTTTGTGAAAAATAACTCCTATTTGTCACTGCCGAATAATACCTTACACTGCCAGAGATCTGTGCTTTATTTTATTAATTTTTTGAGAAATTTGCGATGTGAACAAAAGCTATTTTTTTTTTTCGGCAACGCTTTCTCGAATTATTATAAAACAGCTTATGATGTCACTTAGCAAAGATTTAAAGGATTAAACGTGATTTTCGTGCAGTTGCCGCCGTGATGAAAAAAGTTAATAAAGTTCCGAGTTAGAAATCGCGCTGCGATTGAATTAAGGATGTTTGTAGCTAAGTGAGGGGCAGATGCTGCCGAATTCTTAAAAGTTCCTTACTTTAAACAATTGGTATTATAAAAACATGATATATTTGACCTGACTTTGATTTGTTCGGAAAAGAATCATAAGAAAGTAGTTTGGCTCTATTTGCCGTTTTCTAAATCAACTCGAATTGAAACCGCCTCTAAAGTAATTAGACAAAGGAACTTTTCTATATGCAAATTCATACTATTTTTGAAAATTATTTCTGCTTTTGATTTATTTTTTACACTCTCATCGACAAAACAGAAATCTCAATAAAAAATTCCCCCCATGCTATATTGCCCTTCAACACTACAACATGATTACTATTTACGTTTTGCCTTATTCCACTCGATTCCCACGTTAAACCTTTTTCCGCCGAAAGAAAACCAGCGACTGGTGAGGAAATCAGTTCGTAAACAAAACTGTCTTCTAATTATTGTTTCAGGAAATTGAAATTAGAAAGTCACACGGCACTCTGAGGAGGGAATTAAATTTACAAATAGTGTAATTTGGATGTTAAAAAAATATTGCTTGCTCTACTGATGGGTTTATGGTTCTGCCTTATTTCTATTTTTATTAGCAAGATTGATTTGAAATGTTGACTAAAATTTTGTCTTTAATAAAAATCAAATGTACTTTTCGCTTGCCAGTAAATTTTTCACATTACTCTAACTGGATTCCAACTCAGATTTCTATTCCTCGCGTTTCGTGCATGCCAAGTGCCTTTGCGACTCGATAAGAAAGCATTTAAATATAACGTAAGATTTTATCTTTTCAAAAAAGAGTCGAGACACAAATAAGTGCAACTTGGAAACGCAATCTTCCTTGTTGATATTGTTCAGACGAGCATCGATTGAGCTTCTTCACAGAAGATAAGTGAAAACCACTTTGTGAATTGAAAACTTAGGTTTGTTTTTATATTTTGAGTGCCCGACCACTTTCTGCAGGAGAAAAAGAAAAGAATAGCGCTTTTTAAATCCTATGAATTGAGCTTCACAATCAAATGTTCAAGTGGTTCAATTTGAGATCCAAATTTGCACCTTAAATTGAAAAACACTTGAGACCTAACACGAGTCTCATGTAAGCGACGCCTGAAAACAGATGACATTTATATGAACATTTTATCGTGGGGTTTCTAAAAGAAAAAAAGCGTCAGCATTTATAATGCCACTGACGCCCCAAACAAAAATTCCTTCACGTGCTTATTTTGTTTGCAAGGAAAAATGATGTCCAGTTTGAGTTCAAAACTTCCATGCGAGAGGGGAAAAAACAGTGTGAAACATGTACAAAGAGACTCAGAGTTAGGTGACGAGCATTCAAGAATTGCTTTTCATTAACTTGTTTAGATAAAGGTGTCTTCCAAGCTTATTCAATTAGTAAATACACAAGAGATTAGTTCGATGGGAAATGATTAATATCTCCACGCGGATACCACTAGCAGGTTAATAAGATTGACAAACCTCCGCTCAATGATATGACATCATACTGGTTAAGGAAATAGAGGTTTTATTTTTATATCTGAAAAAAAAAAAGTAAGAAATTTATGCAGCGAGGTGATAAACTTATTTTTCACAGTATAGCGCAAATTGATCTCATTTTGTAGCCGATTTTGGGATGGCGCTACTGCGCACGCGCAAGCGCCCACAAGTATCGTCATGAAAAGTTATCATTTGTTGAAAGTGCTAATGCTATCGGATTAAGCGATAACTACCAATAAAAACACTACAGCTGATCTTAAATACAGTGTGAAGATTGATCATTAGCTGGAATGAGCGAGAACCTGCCCCCTGGCGGGCTAGAACTCAACTAACGCACAAGAGCAATCTTAACTAGGTTTTTGCACGGAAATTGACCACAAATGAAATGATATGTTCATAAACATGTGTAAAATGAAAACTGTGGTTTCCATTTCGTGTTGTTTTCCAACCCTTGCAGTTTTACCCCTCTTCAAGTCAGTAGTTTTAGAAGCGTGTTTGTCATCCCGTAGGACGCTTTACCTCCAAACAGAGCTCACAGTCAGAAAAATTTCCCATCTTATCCTCACCGGTATTAGCTTTGAAATGGTAAAAATTAAACCAGCATGTTCTCTTATCGGGAATTTAAAAAGTCAAAATGAAATCTAGAGGAATTGAATTCTTCAAAAGCAATTTATTTTATTTCGGTCGTTCTTATTACAACAAAAGGAACAAACAACACAATGTTTTGATGCGTTATTATTCCCACTTGGCAGATGACCTCTCGTGAAGGCCAAGACGTAAACACTCATCAGTAAAGTCTGGACTTTTTGAACAAGTAGATACGTTTCGTATAACCTGGAAATGCCAATGCATATTTTACATCGTGTGTGATCATTTTGATCGATATCAATCGAGTAACTAGCCCCATCCGAGTCAGTTATCCACCATTATTAATTCTGTCAAATCATTTATCTAAGAAATTTGTCGCCCACATAAGCCATCCCCTGCTATGTTGAACCCGTTTCTCGCATTGCCACCTGCTGGCGAGTGCTGTGCCGGCCAATTCTACTCAATTTCAGTTAATTGCCTGATATAGCTGCTAATTTCAATAATCAAGCGGCTATTGTTTCATTTATTTGGCCCACACTTAATTGATACAAGCACTACAACGCACGCCGGAACTGCTTTGCATTCACACAAAAGGTGATGTGGGCAACTCAATGAATATATTGCGGTCTGTTGAACGATCGCGACCCAGAAGGTCCATAAACATACAGAAGTTAAGGTGGTACTGTAAGCTCAAACTGGTAACTCGTCATTTCATCACTTTCAGGGTAAGTTATATATGATCGCACCATAAGATCATTCCTCAAACTGCCAAGTTTAAGAACACTGTGCCGGAATTTTTCTCCGAAAAAAAATGTTAAAAATGTGACAAATATTTTAGAATTAAAAAGGAACTATATTTTGACCACAAATCTGAGCCACAAGTCAATCGAAAACGAAACGTTTGTTTTAAGCATGGCTTTTTAAAGCCATAACTGTTTGGCTTTCTTTTTTACATCACTATTGGTGCTCTACAGAAAATCATTTTTGCCGAAAATGTTTTTGCTTCCTCGATGAAAATAGTAAGCTTTAATATTTAGTCGGTTTTATTATTTGTAAGCGATTCCGAATCTTGTTCTACTTCTGAATATGAAAATGACTCTTCTCAGAATTGTTTAAAGATAAACTTGTATCAACCTTTTTGAGTGTTATCAACGCCCGTCGTCTAAAACGCCTTTTGATAACTTTCTTAGTGAGAATACCAAGTCAAACACCCAAAAGTGATTGAAGAAACTTATACATAGCTTATTTTCTGTGTTAACAACATTTGCAATGACTTTGATAGCAACTTTTTGATCGATGAAACAAAGCGTTTATCTGAAGCAGAACGAGTTCCCTAAAGGGGCGTTTGCTTTTTTCACGCAAAATATCTTAACTTATTGAACGTAGGACGAGATAAGAACTGTTAAACTTTTCGTTTTGCTTTCAAATGAACGCATGATTTCCTATTTTAGGATCGAAATAGGAAACTTGACATTTGATCCTAACGGAAACATAATTTCAACCGTTGTAAAGGCGTCTGTTTTACCGATGTTGTTTTCGAAACTTAAGTGTTACGTCCGTGTCAAAACTACAATGATTCATTTAGAAAGGGTCAGTTAGATAGCTGTCGTGTCTATGATAGCTCAGCGTTTAGAGCATAAAATACCTTTGCCAATTTGTTTAATCTGGACCTTAGACACATGGATGTTATAACTCGTAACGTTTTATTTCGAGAAACACTTCGAAACCTCGAGAAGTGTTAAGTCCTCTAATAAAATATTAATGCCCCGTATGTTTTCGCTTGCGTAGGAGATTCGGCGCTTGGCATCTGGTTTTATTCAGCTGGCTGTACAGGGCAATAACTCTTCCAATTTATGTCAACTCTTCTGTGTTGTAGAATTAGTGAACGTCCAACGGAAAGATGAGGCGTATTATCTTGGCTCCACCTTCAGAGACACTAAAAATATTGTGAAACATGAAAAATTTCCCGGGATGGGACAAAAAGTTTATATCCGAGGATAGAATCTTTAGCTTTGATTCCCTCAGGCAGAAAGGGTCAAAGATTCAAATGAGTTTTGTCTATTTTCAAAAAGAAATTAAACTACAATACTCAATTTCTACGAGCTTCAAATATACTTGATTTTGTTAGTGTTTTCAGTTTATAGAAATGAGTCGTGCATAAATTGTCTTAAGTTATAATTTGAGTTTTTTTTCAACAATGAAGTGCTAGAATATTACATTAAAACAGTACAAAAGGCGACACAGGGGTTTTTTTTTATGTATTCTTTAACATTCTATCGATTTAGCCAATAGAAAGGGAGGAAAACTTTCCAGCTTGGAAAATGTTTCAGTATTGCTTGGGTTTTGTTCAGAAGATGTTATTCAAATTCTGTCGAATTTTTAATTTTTGTTAAGATACGATTTATCCCCTGATGCTGTCTGGTATGTGCAAGTTTGACTTACAAATTATTTTTTTTAATTTGTTGTAAAAAAAAAAAAAGTTTTAATTGTAACATCAAAACATTTGTACCAAAAACTGTCTTCAAAGCTGAGTTCAAAAGATAGCTCACAGAAACCTTGAGTTAAGCTTCGCTCTTTTACGGAAGTCAGCAAGACTTGAACTAAATGATTACATTTACATTTACTACAGCATGGCGATGTTTTGCTCCGGAGTTTGGCGACAGGTTTAAAGTGGTTTCTTTTCATCAGATTTGTTAAGAGTGCAATATCAAATGTCTGTACCATACTTCGAGATTTCTTTCTTTTCCTCTTCCCTTTCTTTTACTATTTTTACTGAGTTTGGATTCTTGTTGTATGCACTTTAATAGTTTGGCTGAGGACCAGTAGTTTGATATGATAATCGAAATAATTTTTTTTTGTTATCTTACAGAAATACGTCGGCTACGAGTTATCAAGATGTCAGTATCAAATTCTTTCATAGTGGCAGTGCTATGCTGTCATCTCTTGCTTGTCTATGCAAAACCGCTGGAAGACAGCAAAAAAGAAGCTGCTGACGAGAGTGACGTCCCTGCATTTGCCGAAGGAAAATTTACGAGATCCGTAGAGAATGATCCACAATACTGGAAAGGACGTTTCTCTGACTTTGAGGGTGATTTAAACGATCCTCAGTATTGGAAGGGTCGGTTTAGTCATGACCAATACTGGCGAGGTCGTTTCGCCGATACTGGATCTGACATGGATAAGAGAGAGCCTCAGTATTGGAAGGGCCGATTCAGTAGAGAAGAGGAGGAACATCAGCTGCGGTCTGCAGTCCCTGGACGCTTTGGAAGGAATTTCCAAGGTCGCTTCGGAAGGAATTTCCAAGGCCGTTTTGGGAGGAATTTTCAAGGCCGCTTCGGGCGTGAAATGCAGGGCCGTTTCGGCCGTGAGGAAATGCAAGGCCGATTTGGCAGAGAGGATCTCCAAGGTCGATTTGGACGAGAAGAAGAAGACCAGGGTCGTTTCGGACGTGACTTCATCCAGGGTCGTTTTGGACGAGAGGAGCAAGGTCGCTTCGGACGGGAATACGATCAGGGCCGTTTTGGTCGTGATTCCATCCAGGGCCGATTTGGAAGAGAAGAACTTGACCAAGGGCGATTTGGACGCGAAGAACTTGACCAGGGGCGATTTGGACGGGACGAAATTTTGGAGGATGAAGATCAAGGACGATTTGGTCGCGAAGAGGACAGCGATGATCTCCTTGTAAAGTTAGAGAATAAACTGGGGGAAGACTACGATGCCAGACGTGAAGTTGTAAGCAGTCTAGACGAATCCAAGGATGAAACCTCGGAATCTTAACAATGGAATTATTTGGTAGGTTTTAGAAATACTAGTATGCTTAAAGGAGGGTGACTTAGCATGACGCTTAATAGTTAGTACTGGACTCGGGATCCAATGCTCTGAGTTCTAGTCGAGGCCAGGTCACTGTGTTTTGTCCGTGGGCAACTTACTCCCACAGTGTCTCCCTCCACCCAAGGGAATACATAAAGAAACCAAACATTTTGAGGGAGCCTCCAAAGCTAATGGAGGGCTTAACTGTAGGGGATTAGCATCCTTTCCATGGGAAGCAGCAGCAAATAATCAGTAGATCCAAATACGTTATACTTTTTCAGTTGAAAGATGAAGATATGGTAAAACGCGTGAAAGGCAAAACGTTATCACCAAGTTAGCAGACAATTATTTTGGCCTTATTAGGCATCACCATGGTATATTAATCTCCGAAATTAGAGTGAGTTTAGATGTAGGTTCGTCATTACAACCCAGGTTGAAGGGTATGGAATGCCTCACCAAAAACATGTTTTCAATGACTCTTTTGATGGAATATGGGTCTCAACTTATTTAGCATACAGTGACTCTTTGTGGACCTTCCTTCAACCGTTTCAATGACTCTCATTGGTGTTGCTTTTGAGGGCGAGCTCTAGAGAACCAATGAAAATAAAGAACAGCGTAAGATGAGCTGCCATTGTTTCATGTGCAAAATAGGGAGAATTATTTTGCTAGGATTACGTTGGAAAGATTCTTTAAGGCCCTGTTTACAAGCAGGTAGGGTAACCCTTGTGCTAGGGTTACCCTGGCAGGAGGGTTACCCTAACGCTCCCACATTTCTTCTTTTTTTCATCGACGTGTTTACAAGGCAGCTGGGGTTACCCTAGCACTAGGGTAACCCTAGCTGAGCGCTAGGGTTACCCTAGTGCTAGGGTAARCCTAGTTGCCTTGTAAACGCTCTGGTGGGGATAACTCGCCTACCCGGGACAACTTTTTACTTGTTTCCAGACCCTTTGAACATTGATGACAATGCGTGCGTTTACCAAGCATAGGTGAGTTGTCCCGGGTGGTAGGGTAACCCTACCTGTGAAATTTTGCTTGTAAACCCGGGCTATCTTTGACCCGTCTGCTAGGGTAACCCTAGCACAAGGGTTACCCTCCTTGCTTGTAAACAGGGCCTAAGTCCGGTGCTTGGGGCCTATGGGCTGGACATAAATTATAAAAGGGCTTCCAGTCGTATAGTTCTTTGTTTATTTCCCGTATATTACGGAGTTTTGTCCTAAAATTCAAGTGATTTAAGAAGGGTTCTTGATTTCTCTCATAAACGCCAGTGTTTCCTAGAAACCGTATAGAATTGGAAAAGCGTCCTAAAGGTCATTAATTTTTGAAAGCTCTATGTCTTGGTTACTGAGCTATCATCAACCAGCTAACTTCCAACTCTCGAACAATTATGGCTCAGTTCTTCTTACATTTCGTTTCGCTCTAACACCAGCTGATTGGCTCTCGATGCAAAACGAGACGCAAGACGCGTTCAGATATCTTTCGGCAGGTGTGCTACGATATCGTTAGTTTCCCATTTTTTTTTCTCTTTTTAATCTTTGAAAATTAATATCTTGAGGTTTTCTTCAGCTCAAAATGTTTCAGACTAGGGAAAAAATGACTTTATTATACCTGGGATATATGTACGTTTAAACTGACAATCCTGTTGAACTCTATTTGCAGGAATTTGAATAAAATAGGAGAAGAGAGCAAGAGTTCTATAAAACTTTACCACAGCTGCATAAAAATATCATTTAAAGTAGAAGAATGTTATTTCTTGGGACATATACAAGTTAATTGCACTCTCGCGGTGATTCTCACATGTTTTCATTTCATTGTAAAAACCACTCTTGTGCACGGGCAGATTTCAAATGTGAGGTAGGCGTTTCTTTCACCAAAATCATTCTACAGATATCAGTTAAGTATAAACTTGTTAATGCTACGTAGTTTTAAAGAGAGTGAAACAAGTTAAGTTTGAGTAAATCTAGATTACGAGTGAATTGAAGAGATCAATAAACTACGAAATACATCGGTGTGTGAAAATGAATATACGTTTTGAAGTTCCTCAGAGGAAAATCGGCACACAGAAGCAAGGTTATCGCTTTGGATAGTGGAAGAAACCTTCTAAATTCAGATCCGAACATCTTTCAAAAGGTTCAGATTCATCAAAAGGTTAATGAAAGATTCTATGGAAATCAGTTAAAACACCTAATAACGGTGTATCGTATGTAGTGTTCGGCCCAGCTCCTTGCAATTGACTGCTCTCTCATCCTCGTTTCTGCGGTAATCAGTTGGAGGACTTTCTATTTGGCCAAACCTCTGGTTTGAAATTGCAGGCAGGAGTTGCAAACCCGAGTCCTTGTTTTCTGTTTCCTATGTCAAAGACAACAGCACTCCCCAAAGTGGATGTTTTTATCTGTGATTTCATTCTCTGCCTTCATTACCTTCATGTTGGCTTAAAAATCTCCAATTGAATTACTCTTGATCTGCTTTTTTATTTACCTCTCACCAAATAAAGGGCGACCCAAGGTTACCTCGATAAACGTCTTTCAGATAATTGTACTCAATAGCGAAATCTGCCAGGAATGTTATGAAAAATTCAGCCCAACAAATAAGGTATTATGTCGTGTAAATGAAAAGGGATGAATCAATTTAAACCCGACCCTCTGGTACCTTAAAAACTGGAGTACCTCCAAAGTTCGGCCAAGTCCGCGAGAAATGTCCGGCCAAAGATTGTTTCCCATTCACTTCTCTATCAGATGAATCAGAATTTCCGAGTCACACGAGAAGGGTCGAGAAGCCCCCCCCCCTGGCCGAGCGGATATTTACCGCAAGAAGAGATACAGTTCGTTACAGATATAGGCCACCATATAAGTAGACTTACACTCCACGCAACACCTCTTAGACAAGAAATACCGGAGCGAACTTTAAAGTTAGGGACTTGTCTGAGCGATTTGTGAAAGCAACTAGAAATTTACCCTGAAGACATTGAAGAGAAAGGAACCTTCTGAAAGGAAACACAACATCCAAAACAAATATCAAAATCATTTTGAAACTTGGGCGTCAAGTCTGCATTGAAACTAAAAGGAAGTAGCAAGATTCATCTTTCTTCTTCTGACGACAAAAATTAAGATGGAACAATATATTTGGCGAATCGAGTCCAACAACCATGAGCATTGTATCCATTAACACGTACTTCGAATTCACACTTGAAACTTCGCGAGACGTTCAGTTTCCTTGGTAAAACTTTAATGCCCTTTGTGTTTAAGAGATTGCGAATAGGAAGAATAAGCGCTTAATCATTTATCAGCTGGTACTGAAGCATTTGATGGATGTTTGAGGGTTTTTTTTTTTTTTACCCTACCCTTAACTGCAAAGAGTTGAAATTTTAGAAACTGAAAAAACAAAACAAAACAAAACAAAACAAAGCAGGTGATAAGTTATAAATCTGTTCGTGGCTTTATAAATTTCAAGTACTCTTCAACAAGGAGCAGTGGTCTGGGAACCCTTTCACTCGCAAGATCTCAGTAGTAACTCTCCTTACTGTCTGTCATACTGTTCTTATAATGTAAGTTTGGAGAATTTGGTATTTGATGGACTAATCATCACCTAATTAACATTTTTCTTTATTCCTATCACTTGGCTGCTGGATATTGTATTGCTAACGTAAGGAGAAATTCTGTGTTGATCACTCACACGAGTTTAACGGTTAAAGAATCAAAAGGATTACAGACGAAGGAAGCGCATCATATATGATCTGAAAAGTTAGAAAAGAATTGGCAACATTTTAAATAACAATCACTTAGTAAACTGACAGAGTTCAAGGTAGAACAACGAGACCACGCGCAGGCTTCATGCCATTGTACATCTTTCCGGGAAACTTCTGCAACATTTGATCACTGAATCCAATGAAAAGCCGCCGATTGAAAACTTTCACACGGCGGGAAACGTTTGGAAATGTGTTGGTTTTATTCACTAAAGTTAATGAATTTCCTTATGAATTTTTGATGAAATAACTCCAGGGTCTACAAAACAGATCTTCAATCCTTAAAAAATAAGAATCTTTGAGGCTGATTAAAATTTTACCAGGTTTCAGTTTAAATTTTTTTTATTCTGGGCCGTGTCGCAGATGTATGCAAAGTTTCTGTCGATACGCAAACGGTGAGAGACGCTGTTGCGGTTCGATATATTCACTCTGGCAGGTGTTTTCTAAAATGTATGTTTACAGAGATCATTTTACACTGCTTACCATTTAAGCGCAGTAATACCGTACAACGTTTTACAATTCAAACTGTCTTTGATGTAAAAATTCCATAACTAATACCAGTGCGACAAACATACCACCTTCACGCCGTCATATCTTCTCTTTCCCCTTAGACATTAGCTATCATTTCCTCCGATCCAGGTCCCCTTATTTGCTACGACTGTCGGGGTTTTGTGCATCCCCACCTAGGATATCCATAGCACTAGGGATTTGGGGACAAGGCATTAAAAAGGAAAAAACAGGGATAACCATACTATTGTGACATTGCAATTTGTTTAATTTGATCTCCAAATAGTTTGGAATAAAACTCCAAGGTCTCCTCAAACGTTAAGAAATACAAGGAACAACTGTTTATTTTTTTCTCCTCAGAGGTAAAGGTGGGCGTGGTGGGGGGGGTAAGAACAATGCAATCATCTCTTAATAATTCATCTGCATCACTTTGCAAAAATGGGTGGGAGATGAAAGTCAGAGGTGCTCAAGGGAAAGAAAGTGGAGTAAGAGAAAGGGGAAGATTTTTGCTCCCAGTTTCCGAAATCAAAGATCCCTTGTGGGAAATTCCAATGACTATTTTTGGGGTGAGATTTCAAAAAGAAGAATTTCCACGAATAAGGTTCACTGAAGTTTCAAGTTCAACTGCATAACAACTTCATAAAAACATGTCATCCAACCCATAAATATTTCAAGAACCATTACTATTATGTAAATTTTAAAAAAATAGTAAGTTTATTCTATATCTTCATCATCAAGGTCTAGGTCATCCAGGTCTTGGAAAAGTGATTCATCTACCTCTACTTCACCTTTAAAAAAATGATACAAAAACAAAATTATGAAAATGAAGAAAAAAAAAAATAACGCCTAATGGTTCACTAGAACTGATGTGTTTTGGCCACATAAAAGTGAATTCATAGTTCAATCTCCTAGGTGAATCTCACAGTAGGATAGCATTTTTTCATAAATCACTGATGTGGGTCAATAGCCGGAAAATTTCACAGTGAAAAATTTTAGACAACTTACGTTCTAAGAAAGCAGCATCTGAGTCTCTCATGGAGTCATCTTGTTCAAAGAGTTGTCTCCCTAAAGCAAAACACACAGAAAAAAAGATTATCAACTAGTCTGAGCATGGTTACTTTGCTTCATGGGTCAACCAGACCTTCAAAAAAGTGACATGGGTGTTAAATTCTCCCAGAACTAAAAAATGGCGACATAAATCATGCATACAAGTCTTCATGACATTAAATAAATACCGTTTGGTTCCATGATGGTCTTTGGTTACCCACAGGTTGCTTTAAAAATTCACTAGTTCCTGTTTAAAATCTTGATTGAAGGAGGGCATTGTGAAGATTAAGTGTCACTTGCAGTGACACATCACAGTAACCTAACACAGGCAACCTCATTCCCAAGGCTCCGGAAAAAA